TTACATTTTTATACAGAACTCCATACCACTGTCCTGCCACTTGTTAAATATGTTTATATAAGCCATTTACACCTTTTACATGAAAAAGCAAGACATTAATTTTATTTCTATTACCAATTATTTGTTGATAAATTATTCATTTCTTATATGAGATCCAAGTTTATCACACTGTTGGAAATAACAACTGTGATCTTCCGAATTATGAAGCAATGCACCATAGCAGATGGTTACCAATATTTTGAAGAGACCTGCTGCTTTTATCTTCAGGTTAGAAGTTTAAGATGGAGGTGGTATGTTCCTCTGAAACACTGGTAACTATGCACAAGACAGAATGGTGTCCTAACCCAGAAATATAATGTATGTGGTATCTGTACTTAATAATTTCTTTATCAAAATAAAATAACAGTAATGGTAACACATCTGCAGGAATAGAAAATTTATGCAGTTAGCAAATAGCCTTTCTGAGTTCTACTCAAAATTTCTTGTTTATGCTAAAGATACCTTGTTACACACCATGCCAAAAGGCATAAATGAGGTGGGAAGACAAAGCACACATTCTACATAACATCAGAGTGAGGTGAGTGGTGGTTGAGCAAGATATTCCCAGCAGAAGTGCTTCAGGGATTGCTAATGTCAATTACTGCCACATTTGTCCCATATTTCATGTCACACCAGTTAACATTTCAATGATGAAATCTGGTATTATTGCTGCAGGAGGGGGGGACTTCCCAGGCCAGTTTAATTTTTGTTCAAATTTGTTCACCATAAACCCTATCGTACATATATATACAAACAAACAAACAAAATGCAAATTATAACATGTTCCAAAAATGATTTACTTGTGCACATTATACAATTACTGAGAGAGCACTGTTTTTTTTCATGTTCCTCTTTCCTTCTGTGTGACTTTTTCCTCGCCCACTGTAAAAAAGGAAAATGGAACTAATAATTTACATGTCTGTACAATGTAGCATCTCAAATGTTGACTAAATTTGTCAGCAAAATAATTTATGACAGCATGAATTAACTCTTATTAACAAGAGATTTATATCTGAACTAGCTGTGCCTGGCCACGCTTTGCTGTGGCTCGCTGATGCCTGTTCTTCTCCAGTTAGTTTGATTTGCAAATACTCGACGCATTGCTTCTGCTCGGCGAGTACAACGACCCAAGTTTGATCTTCTGTGAGGCATTATTTGAATGAACTAAAGCAGATCGATTGCACTGATGAAGAAAAAAATGCTAGCAACGGGCCACTGTTATTGTGTTTCCATGGAAGTATACGCTAACTGTTCTAGCGTTACTATTGAAACGACTGCTGCGAATGCAACGTTGAGTCAAAATTTCGAAGCGCTCGGACGGGATAGGGAATACATTATCGAAGAGTTAGTTTCATCTGTTGCTTAGGAAATGCTAGCAATGGGCCACTGTTATTGCGTTTCAATGGAAGTATACGCTGTTCTAGCGTTACTATTGAAACGACTGCTGGATTTCGAAGCGATCGGTGAAGAACTTTCGGAGATCTTCGATAAGAGAAAACGAACATTTACATTTTTATTTAACACTCTTCGGAGCTGGACTATCATAACCTGGTTTCGGACGCAATAGAGGGCACGATCTGTTGTTAGCAATGGCCCACTGTTATTGCGTTTCCATGACACAGCCCAATTCCAAGGCAATGTCACAGGAAAAATTAAATCAAAATGAAAATAAATCAAAACTGTTTATATTCGGCGTTGGCTATCCCAAGACTAACTCCTTTGGCGCTTACCTCCAGGCTCTCTTCTGTATCCTTTGGCATCTGCCCCGAGAATGACTGCTTCTTGTCCAAGGTGGGCTATTTATACCTCGGCGGATGCTGTGATTTCACTCGGAATCTCTTGTGATACTTGTGACCTCGTGATACTGAACAGTCGCCGGAGCTAAACTCTCTTATACATATAGCCAGCGCTCGGACGGGATAGGGAATACCTTATCGAAGAGTTAGTTTCATCTGTTGCTTAGGAAATGCTAGCAACGGCAAACTGTTATTGCGTTTCCATGGAAGTATACGCTAACTGTTCTAGCGTTACAATTGAAACGACTGCTGGATTCGGAACATGTGGCAGGTTTTTACCTGTTTTTACCTGTCACGGGTGTGATATCTACATAATAGGCACACAGAAACATGCGGGTGTTCGAATGCAACGTTGTGTCAAAATTTCGAAGCGATCGGTGAAGAAGTTTCGGAGATCTTAGGTAAGACTCAAACGAACATTTACATTTTTAGATAATGGGATATTTCTTTCTACTCATTATCAATGCATCTATTTCTAAATCAGTCCCACCAGAATGGCTATTTGTGATTAATGCCACACCAATGAACAGAAAAAAAAATGGACTAAACCTACAACTAATCATGTCATAGTATTTCTGATATAGTTCTAGAAATTTTCAGCCTTCAGTAAGATAAAAGAATGGATCAAATCACCACATTAACCACTTCAATCATGTGTTGAAAAATGTCATAAACCTTTAATATATTAATTTAAGCATAACAATATAATAAATATTGATAAAGTGCTTTAGACTATTAATTAAAAAGTGTCTGTGATATTCCATACTATAGAATGCTATACAGTATAACCTTATGCTTTAGACTGTGACTTATCTTACATGCAAATGTAGAGGGACAATCTCATATTCGACCACATCACAGTACATAGTGACAATGGCCCATTATAGCATCTTTGTTCTCCAGATGCAAATTAAATGTTGTTAAATTCTTAAATCATTAACATTTATAAATATATTATGCTCTATTACAAAAATTTCCATAACATTAGGAATGAGTTAATTTTAAAACTACTACTACTTCCAAACCTCAAATAAAGAATCACAATAATCAAACCCAGTTGTGTTATCAATAAAATTTTAACCTGCACCAGTATTCATTACCTTTTGTTAAATATAGCCCCCAGAAAGAGAGTCACTGTTTCAGTCATCATCATCATTTTCATGAAAGATACCTTCAGCCTCCCACCAATCATCTTCTTCATCTGAAACTTGCACTCCATGAAACAAGAGATTGTAACACTTGGAAGCAGGGTTGTTGAAATGTAGGTATGGACGCTCAGGATTAAGGCGTTGTTCACAGAGCCAACAGAAGGAGGTGTTGCACTTCCAGCAAACCATTTTGTTGCATCCCTCTGATTTCTGAGGAGAAAAAAAATTACAGTGAAAATGGGAAAAGGATGAGTTTCAGCAGTTTGAAGGTAAAGCCTGGTAAAGTTACTTGCTGCAGACACAGAACAGAATGAACGTTGCGTAACTGCATTCTGATAACACATGTAGAGAATGGGAATATCCTCAAAAGAGATGAAGCATAAAAATATGAAACGACAATACATGTTTTGGGAGAGAGATAAAGACCATCTAACCACAGGTTTTACAGAGAACACTGTCACATCTTCATTTCCACAAGTTATATAAACAATGAGATGCAATGAGCAGTAGTTTAGTATATTTATTAAAAAAATTATAAAATCCTAAATGTCATGGAATGGGGTCTTGTCTGAAGTGGTATTTATTGATTCAGTAAATTATTAGTGCACCAATTTGAATTTACTTAAATCTGCTCTGCCAATTACCTCTATAGCAGCATTGCAACTGGGACACTTCTTGCTGTTAGTAAAGACCCATATCTCAGAAAGTGACGTGTCCACCAAAGTCTGCAACTGTTTCTTGCCATAACGCTGCTCCATTTGCACCCTCCTTTCTTCACTTGCATTAGAGTATTCTTCTACCAGGTGGCGTTTTTCATCTGCATTAAATACCCCAAGTCATTAATTAAAAGTAAATTTATTCCATGATAAAAGAAATAGAACTGAAAATCAGAGTATTAGACACCATTAATCATTCTGCAAATTGACTCAGGGTAGCAACCAGTGGCTGTCTCTTGTGGACATGGTAATGTAGAATATTATCTACTGGGGTGTTGCATGTTCAGGGTCAAGAACAAACACTCAGGGACCTGAGCTTGCTGCTTCTTTGGTTTACTCTCGATCCTGAAGATAGAAACAGTATGTTCTTCTGAAACACCAATAAAATTTTAACAGATTACATGGCAATCTCTCACAGTCATGAAGCTTTGGGCCTGTAAAAGGCAGAGTTCTTCCATAGCCATTAGATTTTCACAAAGCATTCTACTCATGAACAGAGAGATAACTAATTATTTATAGGACATGGTAGTCTTGGGAGACCACCTCTGTGGTCTACTGGTCAGAGTTCCTGCTTCGACTCCTGGCGCTACCAGATTTTCCGATAAGTAGTGGGTCTGGAACAGGCTCCATTCAGCCATAACTGAGGAGCTATTTCATGGAAATAGTGGCTCCGATCTAGAAACCCGAAACTAACGGCTGCGGGGATTCGTTGCACTGACCATGTGACACCCTCTATCCGCTAAAGTTGGCACTAGCTTCACTGACAAGCAGCAGTAGCTTGGTTGGTATAGTTCGCTTGCAGACTAAAACCACAGAGTTTGTTTTGTTTTTGTTTGATAGTCTTGGGATATGACACTGGGTTCTCATTCAGACAGCTCTTGAGTTCGATATCCAATTGGATCTATGTGAAGATGTTTCTGCTCACAGACTGAAAACATCACCTCTACTGAAGAATAAAACTTAAAAGATGTGAAGAATACCAAATGCCCTATATGGTTTGGAGCCCACATTAAGACACACATCATTCACATGATTACCTTCATACCAAGGGTTACAGAGTATGTCTTGTCAGTGCCGCCACCCTAGATATGGATTTTATGTCCATATTGGTGGGAAGAAGCCAGGCCATATGTGGGGCACTAGAAACCAGTCAACTGTAGGGCATTATTTTATCCTGTTACAAAATCTGACATGAAAGCAGAAAATTTTTGGAAGAAAATTAGATGGTCTATATGGATGTCTAGACAGGATGTATGGCCCTACTGAGGAAGTCTGAATTCAAATTCCAAAATCTGATAATCAGAAAGATAAAAATTTATATTAGGTTAAGGGCTTCCAAGACTTTTTTAAGATTTCTTTCTGAACCATTTCGACTGATGTTCACATCCATGTTATTCATTATCATGATCATTTTGTTCGGAACATACAGTGAAATGGGAGCCAGGATAGAGCAGTTGGTATAGTGACTGGCAACAGACCAGATGACCAAAGGGTCTGAGTTGAAGTCCCAGTAAGGTCTACAATTTTCTCTTCTCCATGTCAAGCAGACCAACTCGGGTCCATCCAGCCTCATATCCAATGGGTAACGGGGGCTCTTTCCCAGGGGATAAAGTGGCAAGGGCTTAATTAGTCAAGCACAGGGAGAAATTTACCTTTTATACATAGCAAAATTGCTATTTCATGAAACTCTAGGGGGGGGTGGCTTTCCTTGTCCTAAATCAAAGTTTTCACTTAAAAATTACATCAAGAAACTGTTCATCTTTTTGTAAGGCTTATTGTACATAATTACGAATTCTGGAATGCAGAAAATTTCTTAGATCAAATGTGGATTATTCACTAAATAAAAACTCATTACATAAAGAAAAATAACAATTCGTTTAGATTTTGGCTTCATGCACAATCATAAAAAAAATTAATTAAATACAGGGCTTCTCTAAATTTAGGCACACTAACTTGGATTCTGTTGTAACTGAATACAGCAGTGACGAAAAACACTGAAGGATAAGTTGGTGAAATAGGTATCAAAATTGTTGTTATAATTTATAACTGTGCTCACGTGCTCTAAATCTGCAGGGTTCAATGCCATGATACACCATCCTGCAGTAGATACAGAATACATAGCTACATGACGGACATGCTGCCATCTTCTCTCCGGGTTCGACAGCCACTGGATACTGACAAGCAGGCCTTGGACAATACAGCACATCTTCCATTGTATCCAACAAGGTTGACAGAAGTACAGAGTCATAGCGCGAGAACAGTTCTGCACTCACCAGCTCTTGAACCTATAAACAAGACAAAACAAAAATGTGTGTTATAAAACAGAATGGTAGATTTGGTATACAAATACAAAGTACCCAGTATGAGCACTAGTCAGCTACCCTGTGCTCAACCCTTTTAATATAACAATTTAACGGTCACATCTTTTTTTCTAACTCACTGATGGATAATTTCATCTTTATTTTTTGCATCCTCTTGTATATCATGTATTAATGGTATTGTAACGGATTTGATTAACACATTTGCCAGGTAACAGCTCTGTCAACACAGTCCAACACACAACAACAGAGGAAGCCGTGTTTTCTGTAGATCCAATCGATGCATCAATAGACTGGCTGGATAGCGATCACGTGACATGTGCTTCCTGTGATGCATGTCCATTCAGCGGCTATATGAGTAAGAGTCCAGGAGAGGGCCGCGTCATAGCTCAAGCGGTTGGTCGCTGGCTTCCCACCGTGGCAGCCCGAGTTCGATCCCCAGTCTGGTCAAGTGGGATTTGTGGTTGACAAAGTAGTGCTGGGGTCGGTTTTCTCCGAGTACTTCAGTATCCCCTGCCAATCTTCATTCCGCCAAATTCTCCATCATCATAATCACATGGAGCAGGCTGCAATAGGCCAACCAGTGGCCGCCATGCCAAGTGGACCCAGTTGGACTCCAACCCCCCCCTAAGTGAATTAAACAAAAAAAAAAAAAAAA